ATGTGAATAGAATGTACAGCCAGTTAGGAACCTGGACACTGGTATGAGATGTAGCTGAATCTCTAATTCTGGTCCTTTTCCCTGAAGGGGAAAAAACCCCCAATAATATGGGATTATTGAGTTATGATTTATCTTTTTTTACCAAAAAAAAAAAAAAAGAGAGAGAGAGAGAGAGAGAGTAGAACTAAGAAAAAGCCACCGGGAAAAGGATTCTGGTCATTAGGCTTTTCTTTAATAAAAGTTTTGCTTTATTTCTTCTATTTACCCTTGTTACTGAGATGCCCTTAAATAGGAAAAGAGCCAAAAGACATACTATCACGAGCTAAAGGCATTAGTACATATGGTGTTTCAACTGGGATTTAAAAACAATCTTTTAAAGAACTTGCAAAGACATGTAATCTACTCCAGTGGCTCATTCCTTACATTTGCCGAGTCCTTCTCAGTCCCAGGGGCTCTGGGATATGAGGTCAATTCCAGGCCAGCTTTAGCCGTTTGGGTTCATTCAACATGTAGGATGGAACCTACCGATGGGTAGCTTCAGGGGTATTGTGATCATTGGTGCTCATTTTATTATACCTCATAACTTATATTATAAATATATTCTCTAGTATATATCAAATGTTTTGTGATACTTTTTTTTTCAATAAAAGAATAGCTCTAAACCCTAGGAATGATGTTAGAAGTTTAATTCTTTTAAATGGGGAACATTTGAGGATCCACCCGATCTTCCAAAATTTCGACAGATTATGTTTCTCTCTAGGCTGTCCTAGTTAGTATCAGAACTTAAGTAGCTTTAGGGTTGGAAAGCTGCTTCAGCCATGTTGATCTATATATTCTCTTTGTCATCTTTCCTTAAAAGTAGAAGATAAATAATAAAGTATATCCTGATCAACAAGGAAAAACTAACCTTCTTAAGCAAACACATGTTAGGAGAATCAATCTGCATGGGCCATGAGCATTCCTGTACTTTTTACTGGGTAGGCCAAGGATACAGGCTCTGACCGCTGTTTACATGGGCCATTTCTCCGGGTTGTGTTTGCAGTAAGGAATCTGAGAGATGAAGTAACATGTCTTACCTGAGAGCAGCCTTGCTGACCACTCATGGTAAAAGTAGTAGATTCTACAGTTTTCTGTTTCTCAGTTATATCCCAAACCCACTGTATCCACCTCAGCATCCAATTAAGTCTACCTCCATGCCCTCCATGAGACGTGGGATACATATAAAGCATCTCATGCTTATAATAAACATACTCATGCTGCTTGCTGCATTGTAACAAGTCTTCTGCCAGTATCTGTGAAGCAGCGGCAGACTAAATTGTTGACTTGTGAGTTGGGTAAAATCCCAGACCCTTCACAGAGCCTGTCAGCTTGAGTGACAAGGAAGAGATACTGATAGAGACATGGCGTTCTGAAAGAGAAAGGACATGGGCCCTCATTGGTTGGGTTATCGGATATGAAAAGACTCTCTGAGATCTGGTAGAAAATAGTCTAACCCAGGTGGTGGTAAGAGTGGGAATGTAGGGCAAGGTCTCTCACTGTCCAGTGTGTTAAATGGGCTGAACAACAAAAGGTAGAATCCAAATAAGCCGCCCAGGTAGTGCTGTGATTATGGCATGTTGTCCTATGGAGTGGGAGAGGGAAAGGATGTTATTGAGAAGATGCAGCGGCAAGTCCTAAAGCCTAGCCAGAAGGCAGGCAATGTGGCTGTGGCTGAAGGAAGGCCCCTTGAAATGGAGAGTAACTGCAAAGCCTTGCTTACTGGCACTCAGCTACTCTCTCCCTCTCCCTCTCCCTTTAAATTCAGCTGCTTTGGAGAGGAAGGTTGGGTGTGCTGAGGAACTTCAGAGAGGAGTGAGGAGGAACTCCAATGTTTATGGCTCTGTTGGATACAGGTGCCCAAGTACACTTGGTCCCATGTGGGGAGGGTGAACTCGGCACCAGGATGGTCCAAAGAGCTGAGGGTGCAGGACAGAGCAGTGACACCAGTAGAGGCTAAAAGAATGATGCCCCTAAACACCAGTGCCTTCCAGAAGCCAGGGGTGTGCAGGAGACAAAGCAGCACCAATTCAGAATGAGGAGCCAAAGGGCAAAAAGCTGTCCTTGTCACTCCCCAGTGTCCCCCAGCTATGAGACAGTGTAGTCTCTTTAACTATGAAGGTAACCCTTGCTATGACAACTATTTAACCCCTGTGTTAAATTCTTTGGTCTGTGTTCCCATAGAGGGAAAAAAAAGCACTGGAATTCAGCTGACAAGAGTTTGAGCAACATTTGCAGTAAGGAAGGGAAATGAAAGTGATCCTTGAGCTGACTCAGGATACTGCAGTTATGTCCCCTGTGTATAAATGTATAATGAAATATAATGTGTTGCTTATTTTGTAAATATTCATAGTGATAAGGAGACACTCTTTCATTCAGGGATTCCCTGACCCCTTCCAGGTGATCTATTAAAAACAATATAGAATTCCAAGGAGAAAAAGAGAGAATCACAGCCAATCTCCAGAGTGGCCATTGCCTATACAGCATCACCACCTGCAAACACAGGCACCAGATACCTCCTGTATTAGTTTCCTGGGACTGCTATAACAAAGTATACCACAAATTAGGTGGTTTAACAACAGAAATTTATTGTCTCCGTTCCAGAGGCCGGAAGACCAAAATTAAGGTGTCAGTAGGGTTGGTTCCTTTCCAGGGCTATGTGTTAGGATCTGTTCCACATCTCTCTCCTTGGCTTATAAATAGCTGACCTCATAGTAACATGGCATTCTCTCTGTAGACATGCCTCTGTGTCCAAATTGCCCCATTTTATGAGGACAGCAGTTATATATTGGATTAGGGCCCATGACTTCCTTTTAACTTGATTGAGTCTGTAAAGACTTTTTCTCCAAATACATCACATTCTGAGATAGTAGGGGTTAGAACTTTAACATATGAATTGTGGGGAGGACACACAGTTCAACCCATAAAATACTCCTTTCAAAAAGGGGAGGCAGCTGTTGATTACTACTAAGCTCTTGATAAAAATGAGTATCTGACCCATGGAGGCTTGTGACTCTCAAGCTTCCTCCCCATTTTGGGGAGGGTCAACTAGGACATGACACTTACAAGGAAAGGGCCTATTTGCTGGTTAAATAAAAATGTATTTGAGGCTATGACTGGCCTGGCCCTACTGTCATCTCAGTTTTGCATAAAGAAGTAGTAGCTACCCCTTTGGGACAATCTTCCATCTTCTACTCTGCCACATGAAGTAGAGCTACTGGTTTAATAGGGCCCTTGGATTCACAGAGATTTTCCTAAATGCATGGGCCTGGTTTACCTCTGGTTCAGCTAAGCTAAAAACTGGTGGTGCTGATAGTGGTCCTGCTGGTTTGACCTCAGCACTAGCTATGGTGATCACTGGGATCAGTGGGCAGAAGTCAAGGCTGTTCTCAAAGCTCTGGTCAGCTGGGCTGAGGGGCAGGTTGTTGGGAGGGGCAGCTGTCCATGGGCCCTGAATGTCCCCACACATGCTTGCTGAGTAGGCCAAGAGTACAAGGCCCAGACTGCCCTTTATTCAGGCCATTTCTCTGGGATGTGTTTACAGCGAACGACCTTGAGGAATAAGGTCAAGTCCTCCCCCAACTCTTCTGGCTCGCTGATCACTATAAAAGCAGTAGATTCCCCAAGCCCAGTGTTCCTCAAATGTGTCATAAACCCTATGCCTAATGTTTGGTCTACCCTAGGTCACTCTACTCTGTTACAACAGTTCAGTTTCCATTCTTTAAATTGTTCCATTCTCCTAAAAGAAATTGTTAGCCTGCACAAGACACTCTCAATAGCAGTAACAACAGTAGCAACAACTAATACTTTCAAAGTGAAAGACACTGTTCTAAAAGACTTGAGGCATTGTTCTGTGTACTCTCTATATACTACCATTATTACTCCTCAAAACCACCGTCTGAAGGGGATACTGTCACTCCAGTTGACAGACTAGGAGACTGAGGCACACATCATACTGTTAGTCAGGGGTAGAGATGGGATTCAAACCTAGTTGGTCTGGCTTTAGTCCTTGCTTTTAACCGCTCGCCATATTGCCTCACAGTAGGAACTTCAACGCCCAGGGCCACAATGAACCCCAAAGGCCAAGAGATCTTCGTTTGAAATCTTAGGAAAATAATTTGTCAAACTTTTAACACTTGATTACGACATCCAACAATTTAAAATCCTTTTTGACAACCTATCTTAGGCAATCAGACAGTGTTCTACTTTGCTTTGATCTTTTCTATCCAGCCTATGTATAAATCTAGTGTCAAGTTTTCACACTGTATATTAATTTCCTATTGTTGCTATAACAAATTATCAACTTTAGTAGCTTAAAACAACATAAATTTATTATCTTCTATTTCTGGAGTCAGAAATCCAAAGTGGGCTGGTGGACTGTGTTCCCTCTGAGCTCTAGGAGAGAATCCATATCCTTTCCTTTTCCAGCTTCGAGAGGCTACCTGATTTCCTTTGCCCATCATTCTGTCTTCAAACCAGCAGTGTAGCATCTTCAAGTCTCTCTTTTAGCTCTGACTTTGACCTCTTGCCTCCCTCTGTCCCTTATAAGGAGACCTTTGTGATTTCATTGAGCCCATACAGGTGATCCAGGATGACCCAGGACCTTCCCTATCACAAACTCCTTCTTAACTTAATCACAGTGCAAGGTCCCTTTTGCTGTGTAAGGCAGCATATTCACAGGGGATTAAGATGCAGATACTCGGTGGGGGGGGCATCATTCTACCTACCCTACTCTCTAAGCAGTTATGTCTTACTTCATGGAAATTTTTACACAAGTATCTGGATTGGAGATCTAAACACACCCATTCACCTGATAATTAATAATGCATTTCATCTTGACTCTGAGGATGGAGCCCCAAGAACATTTTACCTTTTGGGGTCAAAGAGAACAGTACTGCTGGAGTACATGTTGTAGAAACTTTAACCACTCGAACAACATAAAGCTTAATTATTTGAAAATGTACCTGGAGTCGAGCATTCATAAGCATAAACTCCTGTTGGTTTTTCATGTTTTCACTCATAGATTTTGAGAATATAAACCCCATCTTGACCTAAAATGTGAAAAAGCAAAGAGGCTTAAAACAATGTATTCTACATATCTGCTTTGGCTACCATAGGCTTATAACAATGTGTAAAAAAAAAAAAAGATTTCCTGGGAACACGGTGTAGATTATAGTCCTTACTTCTAACTAGCTCTCTGATCTTGGGCAAACTTAACCAGCCTGCCCAACATTTACTCACCTAAGACCAGGGACTTAGATGACTTCCAAAATCTTCTCCCGCTCTCCCTGTTGCCTGATTTTTCTTCCCACTGTAAATCTTGAAGAACTGAATGCTTACAAACAAACAGACCACTCTCTTTTCTGTGAGGGACGGGGTAGGTACCATCCATCCTCTTACCTCCTGTATAGTTGGATGACAGAAACTTTGCTTCTGAGAAGGGGTGATTCAGAAGATGCATTGTACACCTCGAGGACAGTTTTCTCTCTGCTCCTTGCATTGTGTTTTAGGAAGTTTTCGGTGTCTCAAGGTCACTCTGTCAATACTCTTCCTGTAATCCCTGCCTCTCTCCTACAGTACCACTTATTATGTCACCCACTGCTGATATCCCTTGGTCATCCTTTTCTGGCTTCACCTTTGTTCTCTTCAGGCTACTACTCAAGTTCTCAAGAGGGGAAGAACAAAATAATACTTAAATGTCCTGGGAAGAGCAGTTTTTAAATGAACACATGGCATTGCCTATCTTAGTTATCTTACTTAAGAAGTTCTTAAGTGGGCCATCACTTCTAGGGGGCCCAAATTTCAATTTTCTGTTCTTAATCCAATTGGGTAGATACAGAAGGCCTTCAGTTAGTTATTAATTTTACTTTCAGAAACTGCAAGCCTCAGGTAAGTTACAACTGCTCTATTTTCAATAATATTGATGATTCTCTTTGGTAGGCTACTGAGAAGGGTTGTGAACCTTGGGTCAGAGTGGTCAGTCTCAATGCTTTCTACCCAGATTCACACTCTTCTGTGAGAAACCCAGCAGAGCTACTATTTTCCATATCCTTATCAGGAAGGAGTAAGTTCTGATTAACTGGGGAGAAGATGCGGGGGGAGGGAGGGCATTCCATGCCAGGTAGGTAGAATGGGTTATCCTTGCTAATTTGGCTCCAGGCGAGTGGGAACTGCAAGCCAGCCTTTAGTGGCTTCCCTATATTCTGGCCAAAGATGGATCCTTGAATTATAGGGACCTCTGAGCCAGAGTCAGCCTCAATGCTGGACATAGGAAGATGAACTGTAGAGAAGAGGCAGGTCATGAGGTTTCCCTCCCCCTCCGCCACTGCCCCACTCTATCCTCTGTCCAGAGAGTTAGAGGCCACCCCGTGAGGATATGGAGACCTACAGGAATTCTCTCCTTTCTGGAGACTTTGACACCCCCAAGTCAGCTGTCTCCCAACAGCAGACCAGAACTTGCTTGAAGGAAGGAGCAATATGTTTTCCATCTTGGTATTCCCCTAATGTCTTTTGCCCATAAATGTTTGCATGACTGGTACAAGAGAAACCTAGCTCAGGTCACTTGCCATTCCTTATTTTTTTTCTGTACGTAGGAGTAGATGACTGAATTTTTCCATATGCTGCAAACATTTATAAAGAAAACTCTTCGAATCCCATTCCTATACACACAGACACACACACCATATATCACAGAATTGTGTCTCGTACAGTGCCCCTGTTTATAAGGGGGTGGGACCTCTCCTGAAGTGAAGAGAGAGTCCTCATGTCGGCCATCTAGGAAAGAGAATATTTGTAAGGTTAGGGTGTAGGCTTACCTGTTTTGGACCTCGGTTTCTTGAGTCTGGATGGTAGTTTGGATGTGTTAGAGAATGCTCCCCAGGGCTAAAGGTAGAATCCAAGCAGGATGAAGAACTTCCCCGTGTTCAGTGGAAACCACACCTGAAATGAGTGTACAACACCTTGTGAACTATGCCTTGGAGTTCAGTACTGTCAACTTCCCTCTCCTTCCCCACCCTAACACAGCCGTTTTCCAAAGTCTAGGAGGTTCCTTAAGATGCCCGGAATACTCTGCTTTCTCTCTCCGAAATCAAGCAAGAATGATCTTGCAATAGGGATAATTTTGAATTTACTCGAATAAGTAAGTCTTTCAAAAATTCCAACATTTTATCACTGGTGACACATGTCTCCCTACTGAGAATGCTGATTTGGTCCCTTCTGCCTTCATTTTTCCTTTGATTACTCCTGAGACCTTAGAAAGGGCTCTTTGATGCTCCAGCCCCTTTCAGCTGTGCTGTAGTTTACAATGGGAAGGGGTATTTCTGGGAGTGCAGCTGAGGCAGCCTTCCTCCAGTCACCCCAGGGAACTGGGATTTGATTTTACTTATTGAAAAAAGGAGCGTGGGAGATAAGTTCATGGTTCATAACCTCCTGTCATCCAAATGTCGGTGCTGATTCATTTCCTGATCAAATGACACATTACCTACATTTATGACTGGTGGCATAATTACAATCGGTTTCTGGTCTTTTTTATGTTCCATTCAAACTGGGTCACTTCCCCTGCGTATTTCAGCCCAGAACCAACCCATGGCTTACGGGAGGTTTTCCCTAGTGTAGACCCAACTGTTGCAACTCGGGTATTTTCTGCAGTCCTGAGCTTATTTCCGTTAACAATGCCCTGCCTGCTTTCCCCAACTCCGTTACATCGATACGGGAGGGGCCAGGAGTCCTTTTGCGAGGAGAAGGGGCTCTTCCGAAGCGAGGTTAGAGATGCTGGTCAGCACTGGGGACCGGAGGGGAGCCAACTGGGGGTGCTCCCGGGGAGCGGGCGCAGCGCGGCCCGGCAAGCGCGGGGCCTTGGAGCCCTCGTGGGCAGCGCGGCCCGCGCCCCCCGCCCCTCCAGCTTTCGGCCGGCGGGCCGTCCGGCCGGCGCCCACTCACCGGGCAGGGGGCGGCGAGGGTGTGGAGGGACCGTCCTCGCTGCAGAGGCCTGCAGGCCCCGGGGGTCCCCTTGACCGCGACTGGACCGGGACTCGCCCTGCAGAGCCTCGGGATTGGATGGCCTTGACAACGACGCCGAAGCTCGGCCAATCAGCGCAGCGCTGGCTTCCTTAAAGGGGCCGCTCGCCCGACCGAGGCCTGGCGTGTGCTTTCCCGCCAGGCGCCGGCACCGCAGAGGCGAATTCAAACCAACGGCCGCCGGGCTGTCAGACTTTGAGGGGACGAAGAGGAGGCAGAATGAAAATCTCACGTAAGGCCCTCAGTGAGGTCCCTGAGTCACCCGCGTAGGTGGGGAAATCCGTGCTCCCACACCGGGCCGAGCCTCTACAGAGTTTAACGAGCCAAACCGGCGTTCCGCTCCGGAAACGGTGTCCGCCACCACGGCCGGATCTGTTTGCCAGAGCAGAGTGTCTCCTGAGAGGTTGTCGCTTAAACATAACACCCACCGTTGCAAACACTGATTAAAATGGAAGAGCAGTTGGCGCGCGTCACGTTAGTGTCACGGGTACCACGGCGGTCCGACAAGTCTCCGCGCCCCGCGGCGCCCACCCTCGTGTGGCCGCCGCCGTCACCGCACCCTGACGGCGGCACGGGTGCCACGTCCCCGCGCCGGCCTCCCGTCCCCGTGACTCGCGCACGGCGTCCCCGGACGCCCGGACCCCTCGGCCACCTTGCCCGTCTCCCTAGCCCCTTCCCGGCCCGCAGCCGCGGGCTCTTCTCTGGATTCATGGGTCGGTTTTTGCTTGTGTTTGTTTATTCGTTCGTTTCGTTTTTTGGATTCCGCATATAGGTGAAATCATGTATTTGTCTTTCTCTGTCTGACTGACTTCCCTTAGCATAAGGCCCTCTATGTCCACCCGTGGTTACAAGGGGCAAGATTTCGGGGCGCCTGGGTGGCTCAGTCGGGTCAGCGTCTGCCTCCGGCTCGGGTCGTGATCCCGGGGCCCTGGGGTCGAGCCCCGCGTCGGGCTCCCGCTCGGTGGGGAGCCTGCCTCTCCCTCTGCCCTTCCCCCTCTCCCCAGCTCATGCTCTCTCTCTGTATCTGTCAAATGAATACATAAAAAAAAAATCTTAAAAAAAACTAATGGCAAGATTTCACTCTTTTTTATGGATGAGCAATATTCCGTGTGTGTGTGTGTGTGTGTGAGTACACACATACATATATATCACCTCTTTATCCATTCATCTGTTGATGAATTTCATATGTTGTAGTGCAAATGCTGCAGGGTCTTTTTTTAAATGCTGCAATAAACATAGGGATACATATATCTTTTTGAATTAGTGTTTTCATTTTCTTTGGGTAAATACCCAGTAATTCTAATTTTAACTTTTTGAGGAAACTTCATACTGTTTCACACAGTGGCTGTACCAATTTGCATTCCCACCAACAGTGCACAAGAGTTCCTTTTTCTCCACATTCTTGCAAATACTTGTTATTTCTTGTCTTTCTGATCCTAACCATTCTTACAGGTGTAAGGTGATATCTCATTGTGGTTTTGATTTGCATTCCCTTGATGATTAGTGAAGTTGAGTGTCTTTTCACGTGTCTGGCCATCTGTATGTCTGCTTTGGAAAAATGTCTATTCAGGTCATCTGCCCATTTTTTAATTGGATTGTTTATTTTTTTTGGAGTTAAGTTTTATAAGTTCTTTATATATTTTGGATATTAAGCCCTTATTAAATATATCATTTGCAAATATCTTCTCCCATTTTGTAGGCTGCCTTTTTATTTTGTTGATGGTTTCCTTTGCTGTGCAAAAGCTTTTAATTTTGGTGTAGTCCCAATAGTTTATGTTTGCTTTTGTTTCCCTTGCCTGAGGAGACATATGTAGGAAAATGTTGTGCTAAGGCTGTCAAAGAAATCACTGCCTATGTTTTGTTCTAGGAGTTTTATTGTTTCACGTCACATTTAGGTCTATAATCCATTTTGAGTTTATTTTAGTGTGTGGTGTAAGAAAGTGGCTCAGTTTCATTCTTTTGCATGTTGCTATCCAGTTTCCCAGCACCACTTATTGAAGAGACTTTCATTTCCCCATTGTATATTCTTGCCTCCTTTGTTGTAGATTAATTGCCCTTACAGATGTGGGTTTATTTCTGGGCTCTCTATCCTGTTCCACTCATCTGTGCATCTATTCTTATGCAGTTCCATACTGTTACTACTCATACTACAGTTTTGAAGTATATCTTGAAAACTGGGATTGTAATACCTCCAGCTTTGTTCTTCTTTCTCAAGATTGCTTTGGCTTTTCAAGTTCTTTTCTTTTGTGGTTCCATATAAATCTTAGTATTAATTTGTTCTAATTCTGTATAAAACACTGTGGGTATTTTGATAGGGATTATATTAAATTTGTAGAATGCTTTGGGTAGTATGGACATTTTAACAATATTAATTCTTCTAATCCATGAGCATGGAATATATTTCCATTTGTGTTGTCTGTAGTTTCTTTCATCAGTGATTTATAGTTTTCAGGGTGCAGGTCTTTCACCTCCTTGGTTAAGTTTATTACTCGCTGTTTTATTCTTTTTGGTCCAATTATAAATGGAATTGTTTCCTTAATTTTTCTTTTTGCTACTTCTTAATGTATAAAAATGCAACTGATTTCTGTATGTTAACTTTGTATCCTGCAACTTTACTGAATCTATTAGTTCTAATAGTTTTTTGTGGAGTCTTTAGGGTTTTCTGTGTATGGTATCGTGTCATCTGCAAATAGTGACAGTTTATCTTCTTCCGTGAATTTGGAAGCTTTTTATATCTTTTTCTTGTCTGATTGTTGTGGCTAGGACTTCCAGTATTGTGTGAATAAAAGTGGCAAGAGTGTGCATCCTAGTCTTATTCCTGATCTTAGAGGAAAAGTTCTCAGTTTTTCACTACTGAGTATAATGTTAGCTGTGGGTTTTTAATATATGGCCTTTATTATGTTAAGGTAAAGTATGTTCCCTTTAAACCCACTTTGTTGAGTTTTCAGAGTTATAAACATTTTAATGGCTTTTCTATTTGCAAAATAGGTTTAATGTTGAAGGTGGACTTTTTTTTTTCTGGTTGAATCTAAACACAGTTTAAAGATTTATTTATTTGGGAGAGAGAGAGAGAGAACACGTGGATGGGCAGGGGCAGAGGGAGAGGGAAAGAGGGTCCTTTTTTATGATTATCTTTTATTAACTTTTATTTTGAAATAATTTTAGACTTACAGAAAATATTTTACATAGTATAATTATTGAAACAATTGAATCAACACTGACTCAATACAATCAACTAATCTATTGGAATTACCCACTAGCATTCTTTTCCTGGTTCCAGGTTTCAATCTGGGATCCCAGATTTCATTTATTTGTCATGTTTTCTTAGTCTTTTCCAATTTGTAACGGTTCCTCAGTCTTTCTTTGTTTTTCATTACCTTGACACTGTTGAGTATTACCCAGTTATTTTGTGGAATGTCCCTTGGTTTTGGTTAGTCTGTTATTTCTTCATGATTAAAGTTATGTATTTTTTTTACTAAACTACCCTAAAAGTAATCGATGCCCTTCTCAATGCTTCATATCAGGAGGTACACAATGAAGATATGTCTTATTACAGGTGATGTTAACATTAATGACTTGATTAAGACAGTGTCTTCTCTGCTTTTCCAGTGTAAAGTTACTATTTTTCTCTTTGGAATTAATAAAATTCTTATGGAAAATACTAAAAAAATGCAATTTCCTGTTTCTTATACTTTAACCCACTAATTTACTGTCCATTATTGATTCTTTTTATTTTTTATTATTAACATATTGTGTATTATTTGTTGTTTCAGGGGTACAAGTCTGTGATTCATCTGTCTTACACAGCACACAGTGCTCACCACAACACATACCCTCCCCAGTGTCCATCACCCAGCCACCCCATCTCCCCACCCCCCTCCACTCCAGCAACCCTCAGTTTGTTTCCTGAGATTAAGAGTCTC